AGGACGTGAAGAATAAGGGCCTGTCTTCAGATCCAATCATTCATGGAACTGGTAGTGGTGATGAAACTGATCACAGCAGTCGGTTATCTCACGTCAGTGTCAAAAGCTACCAGTCCACTCAGACCAATGGTTCTCTGGGTCTCAACACCCCTCCCCCTACAGAAGTGGATGAAGACTACAGAGCTACGCGGCGACGACTCGCACGCGAAGCTCGAAAAGCGGACGAACTTGCAGCCGCTTTGCCCCAAAGACTCAGGTCTAGCACCATTCGAGGCTCTTCTCCGTCTCAGCCTACACCCGTAGCAACTCGCCCAGCTGCTATGGCACTCTTCGAAACACTTTCTTCATCCCCAGCCAGTATTTCATCGGTTCAACCCTCTTCCTCTCCATTCACCTCTCGGCATGCGCCTCGCGATAGCTCAGCAAGTCGACCATCGCCAAGCATTGAGGACAACTCCTCAAGGATCGAGATTCTGCGACGCAACAGCAGCTTGAGTGGCTCGGATCGATCATTGTCTCGGCCACGACCTTCGTCAAACGATGAGACTCAGATCCTGCGCGATCAGTATGAAGGTTGGAAGAACAATATACGTGACCACTCGGATGCTGTCTTCAGAAACGCTGAGAAGCAATTGGAAGAGTCGAAAGTTCGCTTCCAAAAGGAACAACAAGAAAAGCATGCACGAGCTCAGGCATTATTTGTCGCTCAACAAGAGAAGCTATACCATCAATTAAGTAGGAACCGTGCTGGATCCGCTGGATCTGCCGCCTTGAATATAGCCTCTGGTTCTAGCCATCCTCGCAGCGGTAGCTTTGCTATGCCAGGTCAAGGCCACGGGTTACCTTCAAGCGCGAGTCCCACTCTTCAACGCGGCGTCCATCCAAGTAGCCCTGTGCCTCCCTCCATCTCTCCTAATCATCCGCTACAAAGCAAGCAATCTCAGACCTTTCAAATGGCTGCAACAACCTCCTCTCATGCTCCACTTCATCGTTCCCAGTCTCGTACTTGGCTGCCTGCTGGTGCATCTCCCTCTGTCAAACAAACAGACTTTGGAAACAGACACTCTGGTGGATCTTCCGATACTGACGAAGCCGAGAATGCTGTAGAAGACGACGAATCCGACGCACCTATCCAATTTGCTCAGCATAAAGGCTCCCTTCCCATTTCTATTCCTAATTCTACGGCTGGTCACAGACGGACAGGTTCTCAGATCCATACTGGTGCCTCAACGATGTCAGGTACTCCAAGGGGGAC